TCCATTTTGGTAAAGGCTTCCCCAGAGAGAAATATTTATGACTTTTGCCCCAGCCCATACTTTCTTTTCTTTAAGGCTCTTGATAAGTGCTAGAATCCAACTGTCCCTTCTTTTCTTTTCAAACCTTCAGGCAAGCTAGTGAAAAAATCTGTATGTACCATATGTCTCTTCAGCTCTCACTGTCTTCTGTCACTATTTGAATGCAATGTGTATAGTTGTCTTTTAATCAGATATAAACTAATCAGAGCTTCAATAACTGTTTATCCTCAGAAGCTTTCTCTGATCTTTTTCATATGTTTGAGGGTTTTGTTTTTGTTTTGCAGAGCAAGGGGTGGGGTAGGGGGGTTTGGGGGACTGATTCCCAAGAGTGTGAATATGGTGTTAGCAATCTTCAAGGGGGCTTTGACACAGCTCGTCATCTGAGCACTGTGCTGCTGAGTCCAGGACATGTCAGAAAGACTGCTGTCATTTACATCAGCCCTGCATTTTAAACAGCAGCGCTTATTCTGCCTCAGTTAAGTGTCTGCCTCCACAAGCATAGTGTATTTTCCAGTACCACTTCCAATCATATTAGCATCAGCCAGTTTTACCTGCTTGTGATCCCTCATCTATCTATTTCTACTGTTGCCCCTCTCCTTAAAGAGCAATGTGAAAGCTGACTTCCCATTTTTAACATGTTTATGAACGTAATGAAGTTCTGCTTCATGGCAAGATGCTACAGCAACCACAACAAAAACTAGCTGTTAGCTGTGTGAGTAGTTGTAGCGGTTTAACCTTGGGTCGCAGCTCAGTACCATGCAGCTACTCCCTCACTTCCTGCAAGGGGATGGGGACAAAATTAGAAGGATAAAAGTGACAAAACTTGTTGGTTGTGATAAAGACATTTAATAAGTAAAAACCCCCAAAACCTCCCACCCCTAAAAAAAAACAAAGAAAAGTTATGCAAAAAACCAAATCCACAATTGCTCACAGCCAGCCAACTGATGCCCAGCCAGTCCTCCATCAATAGTGTCCGTTTTTATTGCTGTGTGTGATGTCATGTAGTATAGAGCAACTTTTTTGGTCAGTTGGTGTCAGCTGGCTCAGCTGTGTCCCCACCCAACTTCTTCTGCACCCCCAGCCTACTTGCTGGTGGGGTGGCATGAGGAGCAGAAAAGACCCTGACTTTGTGTGGGCTCTGCTCAGCAATAATTAAACCTCCCTGTTTTATAAACACTGTTTTCATCACAAATCTAAACCAGCACCATACAAGCTACTATGATGAAAATTAACTCTATCAATCTCAGCCAACTACACTGGAACTACATTTTATCTCAAAGGTAAAATAATAATTACATGAACGGTGAAGGTAATAATAATAATAATAATTTTCTGGCAGAATATGAGGTGTGAACAGATCACCCATATCTCATTATTGTGACCTTGAACCACAAGGGAATAAAGTGAGCAGATTGCTTAGTTGTTTTCTATTTTGTTTATCTTCTCAGGTTCTTTGGTTGGTATACCTTTGGCCAGCATTATATGTATTACACATTCTCTCTGTATATGCATATTTAATAGAAAATATTATACATATAGTAGTATTTAACATATGTTCTTATCTTAACGCATGACTCAAGACTTACCAGAACAGGTCACAGATTTATAACTAGTGTGGTCATAATTTGTTTAAGTGCCTTGAAAATGCAAAATGGATCTCTCCACCAAAAAAGTTCAATTCTTAATTTGTTCACTTTTCAAAGTGCATTCAGTTCTGCACTTCAGGGCTCCACCACAAACGAAAAAGTCTCCTTCAGTAAATGGAAACCTTTTGGTGAATGAATCAGAGACCACAATCAGGGCTGAAACTGCAAATAAGTAAATTTCATTGCAGATTTAACTGGGTCCATATGTTTGGTACAAACAGCTTCTAAAGAGGGCTTCTTACTGATGAAGAAGAACAGCCAGCAGGAAATGGTGGCATGCTGAATTAAATTTGAGCACTCTAATCAAGACAAGGCATGGACATAAATTCTGCTCCTTTGATGTATCACTTCCCAGTGTCATTAACTAACAAGTATTTGTTTGCACTATTTCTTTGAGGCAACAGGTTGGGTTGGATGACATTTTTTCTGTGCTATTGGCTAAAAGGATAAGCAAAGATTTTCTAAAGTAATTTCAAGTGAATGAATAACTAAACAAGCGTGTTAGCAATGCCACTGAGGGTTGAGGAGAAAGAAACCCTATTTGATGCTGCTGATTATACAGTGTCTTTTATTGTGCCCAAAGAAAGAAATACTGTGAGTGCTAAGAATAGTAGATCCTAGGAAAAATATTTATACTGTGGGAAAAAAATAATGTGATGTCTGTGATGCTGAATTTAACCTGTGCTTTATCAAAGGACCCACGATTTCTTGAGATGTTAAAAATGCATCCTTTTCTCATTGTAGTCACTGCGTGATGGGGATACATGAATAGTTAAAGGAAGTTGGCAAATGGATGGCTTCACAAAGCCAAACACAACTTAATTGTTCCTCTGTAGCTATTCATTTCTAAGAAAGATAGTTGTTAATTATGTAAAGTTGTGTCCCTTTCTTCCTGCTTCATCAAAGGACAAGACAGCAGTGCAACATATTTACACATTTTTTTTTGTTTCCTTTTATGGAAACTCTTCAATTATTAATCAAAAACGTAGACTGAACAAAGCCTCCTGCCATTTAAATAAAAATATATTTTTGAAACTCTTTCATGCTCATTTTCATAACCTGGTCAGTCTCCTGGTGGCATTAAAAAAAAAAATAAAAAAAATCTACTTTTTCTGTGAGTCTATGATGTCTAACAATATTGCTGCCTATTTTAGGGCATTGTATGAGATTTATAGACATAACTTTCAGTATCTGACACTAAAGCAAAGCTTTAAAGACTGGATGATAACCACTAGATGATATTCCACCTAGTAGCCCTTTGTTAGTTACAGCCTGTAAGGTGCTCCCATCCAGTTCCCACTTTCCTTTTGGATAGGATGGGAGCAGCTGAAGGGCAGTCTTCCTTGAAAAGATGAATAGCCCTTGTATGTCTGTCTCTTTAGACACTGGAGACTTGCCTTTCCCTGTGTATACACATGCATGCATAATGACCAATCTCCCAAGAGCCAAAGCAGAACTAGAAGACTGTCCCAGGTTGTCCCATTTTTTTAGGACATTCATCACATCTTTTTTCCAGACAGAATCAGGGAATACAGAACATCTAAGTAATCTTTCCAATCAAACTATAGTTTTCTTTTACATTCAGACTCAAAGCCCCAGGTGATGGCAGCAACTGTCTGGGGGAATCTACAATATATACATATTTGGTATTGCTCAGAAGACTGCCCAAGGATCCTGCCTTCTTGCTCTGCCCCATCAATGGTTCTGGTTGCTCTGCTTATTCTCAAAGAAAAGGACTTCCCTCAGGAGGAAGGTAAACCAGCAAAGTCCAAATTACAGAGGACAGCTGGAGCAGGAAAAAGTTCCTTCACTGGATTAGTTCAGCAAAGAACTTCAGTTAAAATTTGAAAATTCTGTGCCATCACTTAATCTTCCACTCAGTTCATTGCAATATGGTCTTGCATGTCATGCAGACTCAGTGCAGCCTTTCCTAGGGTTTAGTTATAAAAGAGAACTGATAAAGAATGCATTATTGCAGGGTACTGTACTTGAATTTTGCAGACTAAGCCATGGGTGAAAGTGTGCAGATCTTGACAAAAGAAACAAAATGTTCCTCTGATAGTAGTAGCATTCCAGATTCAGAACCAAATATTAAAGAATTGTGTACTCAATTATTTTGTATTTTATACAATATTACAAAAGCAATTTGAGTTTTTAGAGCCAAATATCTTAAGTGTCCTAAACTTTGTGGGAAAGGAAACTACTTGTGTAAACAATTAGTTGCATGTGTTATATACATGTATTTGTCTACCTGGTATAGGTGGTCTTTCTATGAGATGAACTGTCACTGCTGCCCATGACAGTGCATACAAATTTAGGACCTCCCTTGAGATGATCTCTTTCAAATATAAACTGACTACTGGGAAGAATCACAGCTTTAGAAAGAGGAGATGGAAAGAAGAAATGAGCAATTGTCCAAGAACCTTCTCTGCAGCACAAAATGATCCAAGCCTGTTCCAGTAATATTGCACCAGAATTCGAATCATTGCAACAATGAAGACTATGTTTCCAAAAGCAGCACATGGTTCTGGTGTTAGACTCAAGAAAGCGTACCCTTTCTCAGCCAGGAGAGACCAAATAACAGCTCAATCGTAAGGCTGAATTTATCCACTCTTTGTGAAACTTCAAGCACTGTGACTGCAGAGGAGTTTTAATTCTGGCCTGAGGTGATATGGAGAGCTTTCAAGTGGTTACATGATTATCTGACTCTTGAGAGAACATTGTTCAGGAAATCAAATTGGTAATCCCATCAGATGAAACTTTTGAAAACTTTTTCATACGTATGCTTCTTGTTGGAGTAGAACGCCATGGGTATGGGTGGATTCAAAGCCCAAAAGCAATAATTGGGAACCACTGTTTATAAAAAACATCAAAGAACTTTGGATCAAACTCATTGTGACAGCAGGCATTCCCTTGGTATTTTAATACTTCCATTCCCGGCTTTATCCAAAGCAGGCAGTGAACTGAAAGACAAAAGTAAAGCAAATGTTTTCATGATCTTGAAGGGGATCTGAAGATGAGTGTAATTACCAAAGAGAATCAGTTCTGACATGAATAGGCATATGCAAGAAAAAAAGAAGATGTAAGGGGAACTGATACATGATCAGTAGAAAGTGAAGGATAATAAAAGTGAAGTGCCTATGCTGCAGGTCAGACTCCCAAGGCAAGGACCACTCCACATCTGTTCCTGTTTGTGTCTGGAAGTAATTCTGAAAAGTAAAGACATATGGGACTGTATGTTGTGCAAGCCCAAAGGTGTCCGTGGAATGGTTTAATGTGATTCTCTCCCACAAAAAAAGACAAAAAAACAAAAGAACCCTCAAACCAACAGTATTTATTTTAATCATTTTTACAACCTCATCTGTCAGAGGTGGAAAATCAATTATTTACATATAATACATGCAGCGCTCAGAACAGCTGTGTAGTAGTAAGCACAAATGTATCTCATGACAGTGATACTGCCAGTTATTTATTTATTTATGAAGGTCGCAAGAAAGGCATTCATTGTTGAAAATTCTTGGCGTGAAATAAAGAACATATAGATAATTATGATGGCATTTTTTCAGCAGAAACATTACATATCTTTTCCACAATTCACAAGACTTTTTAAAAACCACATAATGAGTTTCCTTAGCTTTCTAGCTATTCAGCAAAAATGTGGTTGTCTATTCAGTTCTAGATAGCCACCTTCTTGGAAACCTTCTGTGGAAAGCTAAAAGAAGATGTAATTGATATCCCCATATTCTGAATCCTCAGCCCTTACTGAGAAATGCCCTTACTAATACACTGTTTATACATTTAAGGCATGTTTTGAAGCTGATTCTCTTTTGGAGTTGCAGTAGGAAGAAAAAAATCTTTGAATCTTAATTACTTTAAGGCCTATTTAGCTTTTCCATTTTCAAATAGATGCTTACCAACCACAGTCATGGTTGCTTGTCAGGAAAGAATTATTGCCATATAATATTATGAAATTAAGATCCATTTACAAGGCACCACTACAGTAGCACAAAGGGATGAGCATATACTGAAAGGCAGTGAGATGGCATTTGCTTCAGACTGTATGCAGCACCTCTCTTTCCTTCTTTGTCACATTTCTGGCACTACCCGTCTATTTACATCAGATTATTCCCTGCTGTTAGTGAGGGGGAGGAATGAGAGACAGGAGCTTGTGCAGCACCCCCTGCAGACTCTGAAAAATCAGAAATGGAAAAGGTTAGTCAGCTGATTAGCCACATCAAATGCTTGTGTTGAATTCTGAATGCGAAGTTTATTACCAACACATGTAATGTCACAAGGAAATAGGCAGTGGGTCGTGCACCATGGAAGGGCAAGCTGTCGTGTACGAGCATCACAGACCATCTGACCAAACATGAGAGTCAGGCTGGTGGATTGAGAGCTAGCCCAGGTTTTTGATTGCTGAAGGACACACTGATGGTTAGGGTAACTAGTGGGTGCCTCAATCAGAAACAACAGAGTAGAGGTAGTGTGCATATAATCCCAGTGAGCTCTATATTTATTGACCCTTCAAAAGATTCTCAGGACATGCCTAATAAGACTAGGCCAAACACTACATATGTACAGGGAAATAACCAGGACTAACCTTCCCCTGCTTCCTTTCATATATTTTTAGCTTTGTATTTTCCTTTTTTTCTTTTTTTTTTTTTTTAAGGACGCAAAGAAAGGAAAGTGGTGGTCAAAGCCAAGGCTTGATCCGAAGAGACCTTCCTCCCTATCTGCTATTTGGATTTTGAATCTTGCATAGTTAAAGTCACTTTAATCAGTGTTCTCTAAGTCACCTGAAGGTAATACACATAACAGAAATCTCTTGGTTATGTCTATGCCTAAGGGCTGGAGGAACCTTGGCTCCAGAGCTGCCAAAGGCAAATCACTTAAACATTTTGTTTCTCTGCTTGAGAAACAAGGATGATAATAGTGTTTCTGTGGAAAAGAAGTGGCTACAGGGCTTTGCTCTTGCTTCTGTAGATTCTGTAAATTTATTTCCCTTCTGTTCCTCTGCAGTCTCATCAGCTTCAGCTGGAATCACAATCTTTGCCTCTTTGCACCCCCCCCCAGCCTTCTGCTCAGTCCTGCTGTGCTCCTTTCTCAGCCCCTGTGCCTGCTCTCCTCCCCTTGGGGCCGGGATTTATCATGTCAGCAGTGTATGTATTTCTTGTTTCTTTCCCTGCTTTGTTCCCATACACTCTGTGTATTTAATTTTGCTTCCTGCTCTCCTTCAACTACCTTTGGGGACCCCCAGGGTTGTCACTCATGGAAAATAGATTGCACTGAGAATAGAGCACAGCCTGGGATAGGGCAGCAAAGGAAAGACATATCTGATGAGGTAAACGCTGGCCCAGAGTCCTGAAGAAACCTCAGAGCAGCATTAACATTTCCAGGCAGCTGGCTCAGCAGTGATGTATTCTCCTACTGGGTAAGCAGCAATTGTTGTCAGCGCTCTCGGAGCGCGGCACTCCACAGGAATGAAGGGAGTAGCAAGCTAGAAGCGCTAAGAAAAACATGTGCTTACTTTGCTTGTGGTCAGGACAAGATGCACTAAGCACAGCTCAGAAAATCTCCTCTGCAGCACCTTCTCCTGGTCCACCTAGAAAGAAACAGCAGCCAGCAGCTCAGAAAAGACTGACCACCCCTTTGTCCTTATGGAGGCAAAGAAGATAATTGTTGCTGTCAGGCCTGTATTGCCACCAACATCGTTGCCGGTGGTGAATGTTCAACTCTATTTGTGATATACATAACTCTTTAAACATTGCCATGATGAACAACAGCTGAAGTCATGTTTACATTCTGACAGAAACAACCTGCAGCCACTTGTGATTTATAGCCGTGCACAAAAATAATAGTGTAGAGAAACTGGATCTGATTTTTCTCACTTGATCTGTTGAATTCAGCAGTGCTATGGTGCTGTAAAGGAAAGGATAGCTAAGCTTATAGTGTTTCAGCAGGTTTAATTGAGGAAAGTCTGTATTTAAAGGGCAACAGGTCAGCCCATGTTTTGGACTCTTGAGACTTCACAGGGGCAAATAAGGATGCAAAACTCTCCTTCCTTGCACACTGTGACCTTTCCACATGCTTTCTCTCTGACCTCATGTCCAGGCGTACAATGGCAAATGAGCGAAAACAGCTTCCCAATGTCCTACCTTTCCCAGCTAAAAGACCATTAGCACTGTTTTCAGCTATATGTTAATGGGGAGCAGACAATCCCTGTCGTACTTTACAAAACATGCACTGTACCAGAGCATGACAACCAGAGGCTGCAACTAATTTTTATCTCTTACTGCCAAGAAGTAAAATCATTGAACCTTTGGGGGTGGGGGGGGGGGGGGCCTGGAGAGCAATAATCTGCTGCTGAAGAGTCATACAAGAAGGAGCAGAGAAAGCTTGAGGATGTCTGGCCTGTTGTGGGTCAAAGCTGGAACAGAATGGTGATGGGTATCATGTAAGGTTGCAGTACACATACAGAAGCACGGCTGATGTTTTATACTGCTTAAAGCCACTCCCTAAATATTGTAGTGTTCAAAACTTTTTCATCTCATGGAGCTTTTGTTCCATTGTGGAATATTTTGTACTGTTTGTCATATTTCCTAAAGTTCAGTTCTTTTGCTGCTGTGCAGGAAGTGACAAGTACCTTCTGTGCTGCCTCATAATCCTCCCAGTAACTTTCAAATGCAGCATCTTTTTAAAGCAGCATTAATACAGGATGAGAAGTAGCACTCTAACAGGGAAAAGGTTAAGTGTATTTGAACTTATTTGTCTGATATTCCTTTTCCTTGCTTGAGATTTTTGTACAAGCTTCTACATTCTCATTAATTGCAGCCAACCATAAAACCCTACAGGTGATCCAAAAGCTTGAAAGGTAGGATTTTCAGGGATAGAGTTTAATTGCTTATAAAACCTCCATGCACACATTGAACTCGGGGAGGATTCCTGCAGGCTCACCATCTAAAACCCTTTTGATTCGTATTTGCCAACTCTCCTGGTAAAATCACATGCTCCTTTTAATTACTTCATTAGAAGACCAAACAAGAACTTACAAGAGAAGTGAATGTATATTCTCCATGCTGTTTAAGTATGAGTCACTAGTAGTGGAAAAGGACACAGAACAGAATGTGAACACCAGGCATGTAATTACTTATCTTATGGAAAACCACCAGTGATGTCTCACTGCTTCTACTTTCATAACATTTGTTTAACTTTTCTGTCTTTGTGGACAAACTATTCTCACACAGCTGTCAGCATCTGTGAAAGTTTTCTTTAAAGGCCTAGTGAATGTTATGGAAATGTTTTATTTTTGTATTTTTTTGTTCCTTTCTTCTTCTTTTTTTTCCCCAAATACCTTTTTCTCTTAAGAAGCAAACAAATTTATGAAATAAGATTATGAACCAGACCATATAGTGCTGCAAGAAGATATAAGTTCATGATCTAAAGGAATGCTGAGGCAAACTATTTTGACCCTGTTTTCTGACCCGGAGTTCTCAAAAACTATGTTCAGAGATGCCAGGAATGATCTGGCAGCTGCAAAGGCTGACATCAAAATGATTTGCTGCTGATGTAGAAAAAATATAGAAGTGAGATGTGGCCATCGTCTTTGGAGTGAATAGGTTCATAACTGGGAAGAAACCATTACATGGATGTAGCAGAAAATATGGGGATCGAGTTTTGGATTCTACAAGTATTCCTACAGTAAATCCTACCCTACGGGATAGGTAAAATCCAGAATATATTATTGTTTAGTGCTCTCTGGACTTTATTACAAGCTTGTGTAAGTTAAAGTTACTACATCGAAAGATCAAATTGCCCCAAATGAGTACGGCTCATCTGAGCTTACAAAACCTCATTACGTGCAGGTCGAAACCACCTACAGCAAATCATTGATTTGGAAAACTGAGTAGATACACTTTGTTCTTTTTTCTTATTTTTAGTATGTTATTGCCCAGCAAAGAGAAATGCCACTTTTATGCCAATTCTAGTAATCTGTAAATCTGTGACACTGTACTATACTGAGCCAGTCATAACCCTAAAATCTGCTCAAAAACACCTTTACATTTCTGGAGTTTCTTGTGACACTCGGATTTTTTTTTTGCAGGCTCCAGGCACACCTAGGTGCAGTCATCTGTCAGACAAAAAAGAAAAAGAGAAAAAGGAAAGAAAAAAGAAAAAACAAAAAGGAAAAGGAAATGAAAAAGAAAAAAAAAGAAAAAGAAGAAAAAGAACAGGAAAGGAGTTTAGAATGATTTGCTCTTCTTTTGTCCCTTTTAACATGTTTTACCTGCAGTCACCCAGTGATTTAGGCACAGAACTCTATGCCCAGTCTCACACAGTTGCTTCTCACTTCTTGCTTGCCAACTTGTATCTTTTATCCACGGCTTATCTGTAAAGATATCTCCTGATAAGCCCTTGATAACAGAGGAGTATCTCCATCTGAAGGTTTATCTGGCTTATCTTCTGCTCCTGTGGCCATGGCATCCACATGAGAGAGGTTTAAGGATCCTCATACAGTCACTTGCTGTGTCTGCCATGTCTGGAGGCAGTAGCTTTCAGATGAAGGGTAATAGCTAGCTATTTAGGGCTGCTTTCCTCCCAGGGCTTTGCTGACCTGCACTGCCTAGCCATAGAGGCTTTCTCTGGGATACTGCTTCAAATGCACAAGGCCCAAGAACTGTTGATATTTGTTCAACTTTGTGCATGGTTTATAGATTAGTTTGCGGCTGAATCTTGAATGGCACAATTGGAAAATGCCTAATGCACTTTATTAGAGCAAATAATGGTGGGAGAGGATGAAGAAGGGATATTTCAAACAGCACTTTTACTTAGGGAGACACAAAAAAGTGTTCCAAAGACTGAAAAAAAAAAAAAAAAACAGAAAAAAAAAAGAGAAGAGACTCAAAGCTGTGCTCAGGATGCTGCTGAAGCTGCAATACAAGAGAAACTTTAAAAAGCCAGAGATGACAGGTTATAAGGAAATAGGGTATAGAAGCAGAGAGACAGAGAAAGAAGACTTCAACTCCCATTGCAGTTAGAAAAATGTGCTTGGCAAAAGTTCTGCTCTCCAGACTGAAAATGGAGGTCCCATCAGTTTTCACGGTAAACATTAACCAACAAGCACTGCTCACAGTAAGGGTAGAAACCTTGAACAGAGATGGATGAAAGATTTGCTACACTCATTTTGAGTGTCTGGAAACCTGACAGAGGCCTCTATCCAACTCTAAGTGATCCCAGTGGCAACCCTTCTCCCCAACTGCTATCAGTGGGATCCAGTCTGAGCCTGCAGAGCAGAACTGGTGCGACTGAGATGGAAAGTTACAGTCACATAAAAATTCCTGTAATCTACAGCATTTTTGGTTGAAGTTTGAACCCTTCCACTCACATACGCACTGCACACCAGCCAGACAGGATATTCAGACTTACCGACTTTCTCAATATTTCTTGAAACCTCTGGAATGTTTTGGGCAAGGTCCAGGAACTGGAAAAATATCACCGTGGAGTTTCTTGAGAAAAAAAATACCACCACAGCATACTGGGATTTGTCTGAAAGAGCACTAATTTAGGGTGACTGAGAAACCCAAAAGTTGCTGAATGGGCAGAACAGCTGGGTGAGGTGCCAGGCGGTGGGACTTGTGCTGGAAATCAAAGCCATGCAGCTAAGATAGAAGCTGCCGAGCTCAGGCTAAGCGGTGCCTCTGGTTTGAAGTCTGGTAACAGCCACACACAGTGCCATCTAGTGGGTCTGAGACCGCTTTTGGTCATGTCTGGGCTCTCCAGCTAGCTCTGAGGTCGGCTGCCTGAACCTGGCACTGGTGAGTGTGGCTGAAGGGGCTGGTACATTGATTTCCTCTTTGGCACTGTGGAACGTAGCTGCAGCAATTCCTTCACACTGATCTGGGACAGCTAGGGTGGAAGCATTTCTCTTATGCCTGTCTGCTGTCTCTTGCTCCTGCAATCAGAGTTAGACTGGTCATCATGATGGGTTCAGGAAAGAATTTTTCCCTAGCTCTGATTAGGAAGGTTCTTCACATTATTATTGAAAGTACAAATACTCTAATGTGGGGAGATGCCAAGAATATTTTCTACAGCTCTTTTTGTAGTAAAGGTCTGGAAATAATTAGAAGATGTTGGGAAATACTCAGAGGGTTTTGCAGTGTGGGAAAGAGTAGAGCTCTTTTATCCAGTAGGATGTTACCTGGTTGTGGACAGGAGATGGACTCGATGATTCATGTAAGCTCTTCTAGTCCTTTGTTCCTCCTTGGGAGTTTGTTCCACTCTTCTTTTTCTTCCAAGGAAAGAAAAGTACAGGATTTCACCCCTAGGGTTGATTGCATGCTGCTTTCTCTCTTTGTTTATCAACAAGAATAACTGCTGTCCATGAGATAATTCACCCATGTGAATTTGCTGGGAGATGCAAAGCCTGGCCTCACTTGCTGTTCCGTGTACTTAGAGATAGCTTTCAAACTGTCAAGGAAGGCTCGTTTGAGCTAAATAGTGGTCTGCCTCTTGAGAGTAGTGGGGTGAACTATTCATGTTCCCTGAAATAAAGTTGTCTGACACATCAGAACATGGTTTCCTTAATATATGTGCAAGCAGATGGAACAACAAACAATGGCACATCAAAGGTACCCAGGAGAGACAAATGCTGAAAGAAACAAGTGAAAACCTCAAATTAGTGATAGACTTATTATATATTTTTAGCTTCGGTGTGACCTCAACTTTACCTTCCAGAGTTCTAACCTGTATCTGCAGTTACTTTTGTAAATTGTAAAGGAACCAAACAAAAACTGTCATTGTGTACACTTGTGCTTAGATAATGCTGTCGATTTTCTACCTTCGCACACATACATTTTGTTCTTACTATAACTGCAAATAGAGAAACATCGTTTTTCAAAGAAAGGATACAGACTTATCTAACTCAAAATATCCAGTATGACTTGCTTCCCATTCTTTTGGGTTTAGCTTCCAGTTTTGGTAAAGTGACATTGTGAATGACATTAATTGGAATTGTTTTTATGAAGAACATTGAATAAAAAACATAGTAAGTGCTGGAGAAAGAGAGGAACAATTGTGATTAAAATAAATAAGCCATATTTGTTTCTTATCGAGCTTTTTTTCTCTTGTACACACATACACAGATTTTTTTCATTTAGCAAAAAAAGGCATATAAACACCAAAATATACATATGTAATACTTAAAGCACTCTAAAATAACAAAAATAACACACCTAGCTCTTTGAATTTTCATGACAGTGGTTCCCTATACACCAGTAGCAACTCTGTAAGTCCTAAAATAAGAGTAAATTACTCCAGTAAAGACTTCAAATGCAAATGGTTAAGAAGACGTGAATGACCTTATAACAAGGATTTTAACTAAGTCTGAATTCCAGAGTCTCAGCTGTGGAAAGAACAAAGGGATGTTAATAGCAAAAAGGACTGAGTATGCATGACTCTGATAATCAGTAAGTGAGCAGATACTTAAATAATGCAGTACAGTAAAGCTATGAACACATATTAGCCATTTAGTGCTTTGGGTCCTGAGACAGGAAAACAGCCTTTGTCTATTTCTAAGCATGTGACTGGTCTCTTTGAAATAAACGGAAAAAAGTTTATTGGGGTCAGAGCCTCAGAATGGGGATTGTCCATTTATTCACTTGAGTACCTCTTGCATAGAGATAGCTTGCGACTCTCTATGTTGTGTGCATACACAGCTGTGGGGTGTTTTTTTCAGCCTTTTTCATTCTTTCAGGCTCCCTTAGCACGCCTATTTTCTTCACTGCTCAGTCTCACATTCTGCTTTCATAAAGAAGAACTATCCTCATCTCCTCTCACCTCTTCCCTGAATTACTGTGGAACTATCTCCACATAGGCAAATACACCCATGAGTGATCTAGATAGCCAGCTGCTCTGTGGCTTTCATATCTACCTCCACATAGGGAATTATGATGATTGGTGGTTAAATGCTGGTGTAAACATGTTCCCATGGACAGAAAGGTTTGGTACAGACAGAGCTAGACCTGCTCCCCTGGCTGTCACCAGTAAGCTGTAGTGATTCCAACTAAAGCAGGATTCCTAAAATGTGGTCATCTTCATGAGCAGAACTGGTCTGAAACTGTTCCAACATCACTAGTAGTACATACAGCACTGTCTGGAAATCTCTGCCTGGAAAGACACGTACGTTTACTGGAGAAAACCATGATCCTTGAATATCACATATCTTTGCTCATGAGCCATCAGGCACATCTTTCATTTAGGCAGGCACAGAATCAATACTTATTCCTGTAATAGATATCTGACTAATAGGTTAGAAATGTCTGGTGTGAGTCATTCACTACTATCTTTGCTCCTGTTGCTTGGTGGTCCAGAGAACTGTGAAATACCTACCAGAAGGGAAAAAAATAAAAAAATACAAGGAATGTAAATACCCACACTCTGTGCCTGTGTAGGAAATCTTAGGTCAATGTACATGTCTGAAAGCCTGTATGTCCTTTTTCTACAAAGCAGACCAAATGTGTTTCATTGTTTTCAGTCTCAAGCACACTCCAGAGGTATAAATTTATTTATTTATTATTTATTTAACTTCTTGTTTTCACTTGACTTCTTTCCATGTAATTTTCTTCTCTTTGCCTTTTGCTATGCACAGCTTTTTCTGAAAGAACGTTTTGTACCCAATTTCTAGGTAGGTTAGTTTCATGCGCATAGTGACTGCTGGGGCTGGGGCTGGCAGCACCAGCTCATGGAATCTGTGGATCCTCTCACACTGCTTTTTGCAAATTTGGAGGGGATACTTTTAGGCTAAAAAGCAGAAAAATTACATCCAACTTCTATTGAATATGAGTCAGGTTGCCAACTCGTGCTTGCTGTGCTGCAAATACATTTGGAAGAGAATCATTTATTTTATTGCTAGCAGCAAACAGTTACTTTGAATCATTTATCTTTCTTTTTACTTTTTTCTTTTCCTGGTGTCCATGCTACATCCTGAGCTATTTCTTGTTCAGACAGGTGTCCACTTCCTCTTTCCTTCTCAACAAAGCAACCCTGATAAAACAAGAACCAGGTAACGGCTGATTTCCATCACCAGCAGCACATGCAAAAGGAACCCCTTGTGTATCCCTGAAAGCATTTCCTTAGAAAGAGCAGGGTGCGTTGAACTGTGCAAGGACCCAGCTTGGGTTCTGGTACCATTCCTAGGAGTATGGTCTAGCTGCACAGCTGTGACTAGGCTGATCCCCAATGGGAACAGGGAATGTGACCACAGATGTTATTTCACTGATGATTAGTTTACCAAAAGGTGGTCTCTGAAATACCCCAGAGGCTGAGATTTAGTGTTTCTCACTCTTTGATAGGAGAGCTAGACTTATGTTATCTAGACACCATTTCATATTGAAATTATTTGTATAAATACTGCTGTAAATTTGGAGGAACATGAAATCATAAAGTAGTTTGGGTTGAAGAGGTATAGTCCAACCATCCTGCAATGATGAGGGACATCTTCAATCGCCAGCTCTGTGATTTCTAGTAAAGCATATCTGGATGCAGAGCATCCAGTAAGTAACAGCTGTGTTTGACAATGCTTAGCAAAGTGGTTTACAGCTTTCAGAGCAGTCTAAGATTTTGTAGGGACAAGAAGGAAGAGTAGCAGCATAACTGCACTTAATCTTGCTCTGCAGTCTCTTCAAACTCACGCCTACACCAGTCAGCTTTATATCAATTCCCAGGCATGTCGGTGGGATATGCCAAGTGTTACCTGTGTACATGTTGAATGATCGGCAGTTAAAATGGTGGGAAATATTCCTGGGAAATTATTTAGATGCATCTTCTTCCACAGAAATGGTCTTTGGTCACTTTTCTAGCAAAAGTACCCCAAACAGCAAACTTACCAGAGAAGTCTTCTCCCTGCCCTTTTCTCTTCTACACCTTGGTCCTTTCTTCACTAGAGGGATGTCCTTTCCAAGCTAGGCCCTTCATGTTTGCATTGCTTTTTCTAATTTCGGAACTTAGATTTGTTGACTTTGGTAATTTCCATACCTTTTTTTTTTCTCCCCACAGAATTGTTGGAGTTCACATTCAGTATATACCAGGGCTCAGCACTCTTGGTTAAACCCACTTTTTCATGCTTTCTTATCACTTGTGCCACAGCCAAAAAAATGGGCTAGAGCTAATGCTTACCTGATTGCATTATTTCTAGACAGAGATGGTAACCTCTTTAACATTAGAACATAGGATAAAGAGGACCCTGAGAGACCCTGTTTTGTGTAAGAAACCTACCCAGACTATAAAATCCATGAATATAAAATACATGAATATACATATTTGTATGTTTCATATATTAGAGTATAAAATCAAAGGAAGAATTTGATCTAGATACTGTCTACCAAGGATCACTTCCCTCTACTGGAGCCTGGCAGCATCAGCACTGCTAAACTGAGACAGGAGTTAAAGGTAATGTATGAAGCAAAAGCAGAAACAGCTTTGTTTTGTGCCTAGTTTATTTAGTATGAGCTCATAGGTGAAAGTGCTTGGTACTTTGAGTCATATTAAAAATAATTGCTATTGTTATGAGAAATGTATTTTCTCATTCAATAAAAAAAAAACAAACTGTAAGTATTTGATCCTGTGTACAAGGATAGGATTGACTTTTAATGAACTCTATAGGCTCTGTTGCTAGGTTTTATGCTTAGACTTGTAACTTTTGATCTTTTCCTGGCATGGCAACCATGCCAAACAGATTATAGAACTACATTCACAAAATATGGGAGCTTTAAATTTTATGTCCCTGGGTATACTTTCCAAAGCAGGATGCCTGAGCTGGTACAAAATGTACTCTATATTTGTTCCCCATCATTAACAAATTTACTCAAATTGGATTTGAAATGTGGAGGGTGTTTTATTT